TGGCAACTTCAACAAGGGAATATGATACAGCAGGAAAGGCTGCTACCCAGAAAGGCGGTTGGAACTGTGGAGAGCAAGGACATCTGAGGAGCCAGTGTAAGAAGAATACCACTAATAAGTCAGCTTCGGGAAACCAGTAGTGGTTGGTGCTGAAGGATGCCCACCAACCTCCATCGTGAAAGTTCCAACAGCTAAGTATAAAATGGCAAGAACACATAGTATCTACGTGACAGGGAAGCTGGATGGCCAAAGGTGCAACTTTGTCATAGATTCTGCATCTCAGCAAACCCTTGTGAGCATCAAGGTGCTGGATCACAAAGGAGTACCAGAAGCTGTACAGAAGCTCTGTGGTGTGACAGGACATTCTGCAAGGTTGTGGGGACCAGTGTGGGTAACTATCGAGCTCATGGACATGAAGAACAGACAGAAAGTATACTTGGCTGACATTGAAGACCAATGCATATTAGGATTGGACTATCTACTACCGAGGAAGTGTGTAGTTAACTTCGATAAAATGACGATTGGAAACAACAAAGGCCAGATTCCAGTAAGTGTTGCTACATCCGTTGATCTGCATATCACAGCACTTAAATCAACTACAATACCCCCCTATGTCAGAGAAGATAATTTGGGGTAGGATAAAAGAACATTCCAAAGGAAGCCCAATGCTTGTAGAAGCAGTGGAAGACCCATCCAGGCCAGCAGATTTGAAGATTGGAAGGTCACTTGTAGCAGGTCATCAAGTAGTGCTAATAACAGTGGCCAATTTCTCTAAATGTGAGCAGACACTTAAGGAAGGGGCATTGTTGGGTGTGTGCTAGGAGGTAGAGCCAGTCAATGTTAAAGCAAGGAATACAACTGTAAAGAAAGGACATACACTTCCAGAACATTTAACTGACCTCTATAAGAAGAGCATAGTTCATTTGGCATCATCACAGGCTCTTCAGGTAAATGAACTTTTGGCAAATTATGCTGACGTCTTTTCGAAAGGAGATCACGACCTCGGCTGCACAAATCTTGTAGAGCACAGAATAAACACAGGCAATCACCGTCCAATAAAGATCCCTCCAAGAAGAATAGCTCCAGCAAAGCAGCAAGAGATAGAGAAGGTCATGGATGGTCTAATTAAGGAAGGGATAGTCGAGAAATCAGATAGTCCCTGGTCAGCTCCTGTTGTATTAGTACAGAAGAAGGATGGGACCCAACGTTGCTGTGTGGACTTCGTGGCTCTTAACAGCATAACCGAAAAAGACTCATACCCATACAAGTACAGGGTTGTATTAGTACAGAAGAAGGATGGGACCCAACGTTGCTGTGTGGACTTCAGG